GGAGACGAGAGTACTTCCACCACACGTTCAAATGCATCCTGGCATCCTTCCGTCCAGGCCCATTCTTTGTTTCCCGAATTTATGGCAATGGTTACCAGGTCATTTAACGGCTTTACCAGCTTAGCGTAGTTGTTTACAAACTTCCGGTAGTACCCCGAAAATCCAAGAAACGTACGAAGCTCGTCTATGTTAGTGGGGACCGGCCAGGTTTTGATGGCTGACACTTTGTCTGGATCCGTTTCAATTCCCTGAGAAGAGATTATATGACCCAAGTACCTTACCTTGTCTTGGAAGAACGAGCATTTAGATAGTTTTAGCTTCAAACCGTATTCCTCCAGTCTTGTAAAAACGTCTTCTAGGCGTTCCAAGTGCTCCTCAAAGGTCGTTGAATACACAATGATATCGTCAATGTATACGATGCATTTACTAAAGTTCAGTTCACCCATGCAGTGTTCCATCAGCCTCTGAAATGTCGCTGGAGCGTTGGTCAAACCAAAGGCCATACGGTTGCATTCATAGAACCCCAATGGACCTACGGTGAAGGCTGTCTTTTTCTTATCTTCCTCTGTTATCTCTAACTGCCAGTAACCGCTTTTSAGGTCTAAAGTAGTAAACCAACAAGAACCCGCCATCGCTTCTAGTGCCTCGTCGATTCGTGGTAATGCATACGCGTCTTTCACCGTGCGCGCATTCAGCTTGCGGAAGTCGATGCAAAATCTTAAACTGCCGTCTCTCTTCCTTACGAGAACTACTGGCGAGGAGAAAGGGCTATGAGACTCTCTTATGACCCCAGACTCTAGCATGTCGTTGAGATGCTCCCATACCTCTTCATACTGCGAGGGAGGTATGCGTCTGTGTCTCTGCTTAAATGGCGTGTTATCCGAGAGAGGAATCTCATGCTTGACAGCTGTGCAACGGCCTAAATCGTTTGGCCCCTGAGAAAACACTCTTTCATTCCATTTATGAAGAAACTGCTCAGCCCTTACCTTCTGYTCTGGATCCAAAGAAGAGGTTCCGAAATCCATATAAARACATTGTTCTTGAGACTCTTCAGTGTAATCTACTTTTTCATTTTCCAGAGTGTCACAGACTTRGACCACTTGAAGCGCGCAGACTACCGTCCCTGGAACGATCTCAATGTCATCCTTTGAAGAGTTGTGTACCCTAACAGGAACGGGAATTTCGTCACCAGTCATTTCAATACTTACCAACGCAGGTATGATCTGCAAGGACTCGGGGAAATCAGAATTCTCRCTCTCTACTAGGGCTGGTACTGTTATACCTTTGTTACCTGTTTTTATTGTTGCCCAGATCACCGAGGTTTCATTAGGGTGGACTATGCAATGCTCRTTTACACTTGTTTTTACCCTACGGTTGCTTAGCAATTTACTGACCTGCTTTCTTTGCTGAATGAGGAACTGATATCCCATCCTCCACGCCAAGTCCGGTTTGACCACCTGCAGGAATGTTTTACCATACGACTTGGTACATATCTCACTGCAACGTCGGATGACGTTCGTGCCTATCACCAGCYGGACTTGCTTATTGAAACCTGTATCCGGTACTACCAAAATTGTTGCCATCAGAGAACACTCTACGCCACTTGTCTGCTCTGGAAAGGAGATTTCTGCTTCGATGTAGCCTAAAAAAGGTACATCCTGACCCCCCGCGCCCTGGATCTGCAGATCAACATGACTCAACGGTTTCAGTTCGCAGTTACCTAAGTATTCTGACAGAAACATTTCACTGACAGTTGACACTTGCGACCCGGTATCAACTAAAGAAAGACACGGTACATTATCTACATAGGCCATACTTACGTTAATGTCGCCTAAAAGGTTGATGATATTGGGGCTTACTATCTCGGCTGGTGGACCTTCTGGTCGCCCCTCGCCAGAGGTCCTTTCGAGTTTGACTGTTTCTCTTCGAGCTTCTGGACCTTGGCCAGAATTTCCTTGAGCATGGATGATGAACGATCTTGTTTTGCAACTTTCTCTTCTAGGTCCTTTACTCTAGCTAGTATGTCCGTCAATGGCTTTGTCAATCCTTCTCCGCTATCCGACGACCTTTGCTGGAATGCAGTAGCTCTAGCCGGCATTGAAGG